TGTTGTAGCTTATATCTACCTCATTATTTTTATAGATGAATAACTGTATTCATCTACTCATTTGTTGATGGATATTTGGATTGTTTCTGCTTTGTAGCTATAGTGAGTAAGGCTGCTGTGAAAATTCATGTACAAATGTTTGTGTGGACATATGTTTTTATTTCTCTTGGATATATATATCTAGAAGTAGAATTGTTTGGTCATATGGTACCTCAGTGTTTAATAAGTTATCCACAGCAGTTTTTCTTTTGTTTTTGTTTTTTTTTTTGAGTTGGAGTCTCATTCTGCCATCCAGACTTGAGTGCAGTAGCACACTCCCGGCCACCGCAGCCTCACCCTGCTAGGCTCCGGTGATCCTTCCAAGTAGCCAGAACTACAGGTGCGTGCTGCCACGCCTGGCTAGTTTTTGATTTATTGTAGAGACAAGGTCTCGCCAAGTTGCCTGGGTGGATCTCAAACCCGCGGGCTCAGGTAGTCCTCTCGCCTTGGCCTCCCAAAGTGCTGGGATTACAGGCTGAGCCACCGAGCCCGGCCTACAGCAGTTTTTCCAGTTTTTTCCCCCACTGGCAGTGTATGAGGGTTCTAATTTCTCTGCATCTTTGCTTTATTATAATTTGTAAAAACTGACTCATCAAACCATTGAATCCTTACCATATGCAAGGCACTATGCCAAATAGAACAGCAAGGCAGGCTTCTTAAAAGTGACAAGTTTTTGGTCTACTGGAAGCTAAGGTAGATACTTAACTATCTGGGAGGATCTCTTGAGCCTGGGAGTTCAAAGCTGCAGTATCTCAAAAGAAAAAAGAAGACAACCTCCAAATTCTAGTAAAGAAATGACTAGTCAGCATTTATTCCCTATATCAGTAAGTGATATAATCATCTACCTAGTTGTATAAGGTAGAAATCAGAGCATGAGCCTGTTTTCCTCCTTTACCTCCCATATCTCAATAGTTGTTAAGTCCTGCCAGTTTTACTTCTTTCTAAATATTTGTGGATTGGCTTATTTTAATATGTTTATATTAAAATCTGGTTTTCCAGCGTGTCTTATTTTATCAAGTCAGTCTTGATAAAAATCTCTAGTCTGGACCATACAACCAATGTCAAGGAATTGTCCCTGTCTAGCTGAACTGCAAGCCTGGACCAGTGTGCAAATTAGCCCTTTCCTAGTGCATAATAAGGCACCCACTTGCTGCCCAAGAGAGCAAACAGTACGAGTAGAGATTCAGCTTCTCTTCTTCACCTGGGACTCTATGAACAGAGGGTTTTTTAAGTTATATTTTTAAGTGTCCATGAGGTGTATAATATATTTAGGTCTATTCAAGTTTTCTATTCCTGTGCTAATTATTGCCATTTTTTAAGAAGTGTATCTAGTTTAAGATTTTCAAATTTGTTAGTTTACAGTTGATCGTATTGTCTTGCTCATGATTTTTTTTCTTTCTTTTTTTCTTTTTTTTGAGTCAAAGTTTCACTCCTTTGCCTACTAGCACAGTCACTGCCCACCTCAGTCTCCTTAGTAGCTGAGACTACAGGTGTGTGCCACCATGCCTGGCTAATTTTTTAATTTCTTTCTTGTAAAGACAAGGTCTCTGGTCTTGAACTTCTGGGCTTAAGTGATCCTCCCACCTTGGCCTCCCAAAGTGCTGGGATTACAGGCATGAGCCACTGTACCAGGTCAGTATTTCTTAATTTGTTTTCTTTAGTTGTATCTTTTTCCCAGGCAGTCTTACCAGAGTTTTTCTCTTATTAATCTTTTTTAAAATAGTATTCTTTTTTTAGATTGTCTATTTTTTCTGACCTTATTTATTTTTTTTTACTTTTTTCTGTTTCTTTTGTTTTATTGCTCTTTTCCCATCTTCTTATTAAGATTGCTTATGTTAATGGTTTTAGTTTTGTTTTTAAGAAAAGTGTTTTTAAAACCCATTTTCCATTAAGTACTGCTCTAGCTGTTTTATTGCATATTTACTCACAGTGTGTCATTCTGTTTGAATATTTTGGTATTTTCTTTATCATTGCCTTCTTTAAATATGGCTTCACATTTTTTCTTCATATTTTTAACTTTTTGGTCAATTCTCAGTATGTAACCAACTTCTAATTACCACTTCCTCCTTTTTTGCAGTTCCCTTCTTACCACACTCAGGTTGCGATATCTGTGCAAGGCACCCAGCAGCATGGAAACCCTCAGTCTGCTTGACTTTGTCCCTCTGTCAGGATGCCCACCTCACACTACTCAGGCTCCTGTACTCTGCTTTGGGTTGCCCTCCTATTGATACACTCCTTATCCACTGAATGGGCTGTGAGATCCTGCACTGGGCTACTGCCACATAAACATGGGAATCCCCATCTCCCACCCTTTATAAATATCCTCACTTCCTGGTTAGGCCGAACACCCTGCTCCCAACCTCTGCAGCTCCCCCCTCTGCTGCCAATGAACTACCTTGCTTGGCCCCATGTAATGAATTTTGGACAGAATTTCTTCAGGAAGGGGGAGAGTAGGAATTGCAAGAGAAAGTCATTTTCTAATTTCAGTACAGTATGGTCAGAGAGCAAAAAGTGTTTTATTCTTTGGAACTAATTAATTGAGGCTTCTTTTAATTAGTATATGGTCAGTTGTGTTTTTTTTGAGTCGGAGTCTCACTCTGTCGCCCAGACTGGAGTGCAGTGGCTGCTCCTGGCCACCACAGCCTCGACCTGCTGGGCTCCGGCGATCCTTCCACCTCAGCCTTCCAAGTAGCTGGAATTACAAGCGCACGCTACCACGCCTGGCTAATTTTTTTATTTATTGTAGAGATGAGGTCTCACGAAGTTTCCCAGCCGGGTCTCGAACCCGTGGGCTCAGGCAGTCCACTCACCTCAGCCTCCCAAGGCACGGGATTACAGGTTGAGCCACTGAGCCCAGCTATGGTCAGTTTTTATGATTGTCCCATGTTGCTCAAGGAATGTATAGTCAGAATGGTACATGTATTTCAGTTCGTAAATTATATTCAAATTTTTTTCCATTTTTTTATTCTTTCTTTTTTTTCTTTGGAGTCAGGATCTCACTCTATTGCTCAGGCTGGAGTGCAGTAGCATGATCATGGCTCACTGCAGCCTCAGACTTTTGGTCTCAGGCAAGCCTTCCACCCTCAACCTCACCAAGTAGCTGGGACTACAGGCGCGCGCAACTATGTCTGGCTAGTTTTTCACGTGTTTTTTTTTTGTTTTTTTTTTTTTGTAGATAAGAGCTCTTGCCTATGGTATAGTCTTGAACTCCTGAACTCAAGCAGTCCTCTTACTTCAGCCTCCTAAAATGTTGGGATTACAAGCATGAACCACTGTACCCAGCTGCAAATCTTTTTTTTTTTTTGTATCTTCTACTTTCTACATGCTTGTTGTATTAATATTTTTTTAAGTATTAAAAGTATATTAAAAGTGTAGCTAATAGGTTACCAGTCTTGTACCTATCACTCAACCTGAGCCCCCTGGGACTTTTTCTTTTATTCTTTGCCCTTTCCACACAGGATTATTTACTGTCCTAAATTTGGTCTATCTGTCTTGTCTTTTCTTTTTTTTCTTTCTTTGTAGCAAGAAGGTCTCACTATGTTGTCCTAGGCTGGTCTTGAACTCCTGGCCCCAAGCCTCCCAAAGTGCTGAGGTTACAGATGTGAACCACCATGCCGTGCCTGAATTTGGTATTTCTTGTTCCTGTGAACTTAAAACAGTAGAATAGGGCTGCCAAGTTAGATATATGAGAAACAACCTCCAAACTAAAATTTACCAGTGTGGACCAGAATTGCTCACAGATGCATAAATTATTATTATAATTTTTTTTTAAGCCAGAGTCTCACTTTGTTTCCCAGGCTGGAGTGCAGTGGCATGCCAACAGCCACCGCAGCCTCCACCTGCTGGTCTCAGATGATCTTTCCGCCTCAGTCTTCCCAGTAGCTGGAACCACAGGCATGTGCCACCACACCCGGCTAATTTTTTAATCATTATTATTATAGTGATGAGTTTTCGTCAAGTTGTCCAGATTGGTCTCGAACCCTTGGGCTCAGGCAATCCTCTCACCTCCGCCTCCCGAAGTGCTAGTATTATAGGTGTGAGCTACTATGCCCGGCTCAGAAATTCTTTTGTATCCAAAAACTCTCTAGTCCCTGGAAGAATAAATTTTTGTTTCAACTCAGTGCATTTCAAGTTAGATTACAAAAGCTCTAAGTCTCTACATTGAGAGCTATGTATCTAAAAATATGTACCATATAAATACATGAGGAATACTATGGCAGATGATTTGTTTTAAGGATCCTAGCTATGGATGGTACTAAATAATAGGTAACTAAATAATAATAGGTAATATGGTAGTATACCAGCAAGCTATATGGCTCTTTGACGACTCATGGCAAGCTGTTCCATTTATGAGAGAAAAATCTAGGTCTAAAAGACCCATTAATTTGTTTCTGTGTACTTTATATAGCTAATTGAAGAAATAATTATATGAAAAAGCAAACTCTGGCTGGGCATGGTAGCTCATACATGTAATTTCAGCACTTTGGGATGCCAAAGCAGGAGGATTGCTTGAGACCAGGAGTTTGAGACCAGCTTGGCAACATAATGAGACCCTGTCTCTACCGGAAGAAAAAAAAACAAAAAACTGAGTGTAGTGGCAAGCACCTGTATTCCAGCTACTCAGGAGGATGAGGTGGGAAGATCACTTGAACCCAGACTCTGTTGAACTATGATCGTGCCACTGCACTCTAGCCTGGGTGACAGAACAAGACCCTGTCTCTTAAAAAAAATAAAAGCAAACTCTGTTCAGTTGACTTTTCTGAAGTCCTTCAAAGATTTATATCCAGTCACGTTGTTATAGGTAGTGACACATTAAATTAATCTCTAATTGGACTTAAAAGTTTTGACTCTTAGCATCTTGATTTGATTGATAATTTGACTTTGTCTTATTTCAACAGTTATATATAACAATGATTTTGCCTCTTATGATTTTATGTGTTATTTTGTTTTTTCGTTTACAGAGTGATAGATTTATGTGGCCTTTTAAATGATTGAGTAATAATGGAAATGGATCCGAAATAAGAAGTGACTTCTACCAAAGCAGAAGATTCTTCATATCACCTTTCAGTAGCTCAATTCAGTATTTGGAAGGGACAGAACACGCGAAATACAGAAAACCGAAGAGAAGAAAACCTCCTTTTGGAACTATTTTTCTCCTTGACTGCTCCTTACCCCCATGTTTCTACTTGTTTTAACTTTACTCTGAATTTATAAGTAGTAAAGGCCAAAGAAATAGAATATACATTTAGGAACTTTATGCCAAGAGCTTTTTTTTTTGAAAGTTGCTATTCTGTGGAGGGAAAAGTATATCAAGTTCCTGTCTGATTTTTTTTGTTTGTTTCTTGAAATAAGATTTCTTATATCCTTAGATTTTGAAGGTTAAGACAAATATAAGTACATATCTGCACATTATTTTTAGCAGTTGTGTGAGTAAAAGTAATAAGGTTTGTATTTTAAAGGGCTTTGTCGTGTGGATGTTTTCCCACTGGAGTTGACTATTCAGGTCTTTTACAAGACTTTAATATTATATTTTTGTTCTATTACCTTGATGACATTACTTGCCCATACTTGAGCCCACCTGTCTTTCTAACTATGACCTTGTTATGAATAGTGTTTGTACTTAACTGTGCAAATGTCCATGTATTACCTAAGTAAGCAACATCATAGTGCCATAACTCAAGGAAGTTGAATGAGGTGAACATAGACATAGCTTTTTCCCCTTCCCCTCCCTTTTTTAAATGTAACAAATACTTTTTATGTTCCCCTTCCCCCTTCCCCCTTCCCCCTTCCCCCTTTGGAAACGTGTCAGGAACTAGGTAGTTTAGGATGAGCATTTGAGGGGACTGAGAAAGTGATCCACACAGAACCTAGTTTCTTTGTGCTTCATCATAAGTCGTGCTGCTGGCCAGGTTACTTAAGCATCCTTTGACCAAGAAAACCTCGTGGGATATCCAGCTGGCAGACTCAAGGAGTTCGGGAAACAGGACCGCAGAGGTTATACTCTGGGGTAAATATTCTCCATATGTCTAACTTTGGAAGAAAATTGTATGTACATGCATCATGAAAATTACCTATTGCTTTCTGATATATAATTTTGGAGAATATCAGTGGGGTGATTTGAAGACACCAGCAGATCTCAGGAAAACTGGTGCTACTTGGTGTTTGAAGAAAATTAATGTGAACTAAATAGAAAAGCTCTGAGAAGTTGTATCATCCATCTCTAGGAAAATCTTTTCTACTGCCTTTGCTGAAAGTTTCCTGAGTACTTGAAGCAGATTAATCTCCCTTCAAAGTATCTGTAGTTTTAAGTATGTACTTACTCTTCAAGTTCTGGTGTAACTCAATAATTCATTAGCTTCTTTTATAAAATCTTCCAGATTCATGTTACATTTTTCTGTTTGTTTTTCATGGTCATATATTCACAGACTGTTGGATTTGTTTATAACTTCTCTGAAATATGGAGCCTGGTATATGGAGCCTGGTAAGCCTCTATAGAAAGGCTCAGAGGGCAGATCTTTCTGTAAAGAGGGATCTAAGGATAATCGCAGATTCCTTTACACATTGGTATCAAGATTCTTGCAAGCATAACTGATGTGAGTTGTCTTTTTTTCAGATCCTGGCCATGAGGTTGGATGCCTCACCTTGCTGAAAAGAGACACTGGACCTAAATGGCGCAGCATGATTTTGTTCCTGCTTGGCTAAATTTCTCAACACCACAGTCAGCTAAGGTACTGTTCTTTACTGCTATAGTAACTACCCAGATACCTGTTTTGTTTTGTTTTTTTTCATCCTGAGGCCTCTGTTTTCTTGTCTGGGTGTTTGTTTTTATATATTCAGCCTTGCCTGAGGATTTCACATGTTTTCATAGACATTAACTTTCTGTTAGTAGGATATAAGTCATTAGACAGTCCACTTCTATCTTTTTTTTTTTTTTTTTTTTTTTTTTTTTGAGTTGGAGTCTCACTGTCGCCCAGACTGAAGTGCAGTGGCCGCTCCCGACCACTGCAGCCTCGACCTGCTGAGATCCGGCGATCCTTCCGCCTCAGCCCTCCGAGTAGCCGGAATTAGAGGCGTGCGCTACCACACCCGGCTGATTTTTTGATTTATTGTAGAGATGAGGTCTTGCTGCCCTGGCGGGTCATGAACAATCTTTTTTTTTTTTTTTTTGTAATCACTACATCGTAAGGCTTTTCTCATTACATGGCATAGTTAAGTCTTCTTGTATTAGCTGTAGTACACTTTGGATGTAAAACATACCTGCTAAACTGTTGTTGAGGTCAAAGGGACAGAAGTGAAAGGGAAATGGCCCTTGGTAAACTGGCCTTTAGAGTGAACACATTTGTCTATGCTAATACATGAGAAGAAGAAAAAGCTACTACTTAGATCTCAGAGTAAATCTTAGAAACTTAATCTACTTAATGGTTTCGAGAGAAATGTATCTCGCATAGGAGTAAAGACAAATGACATAACCAGTCCATAATAAAACAGACCTAATCACAGTACACAAAAGAGCAACCTATGTAATTGATAAGGAAACCTTTGGGAAGCTAATAAACTTAAAAGTGCTTCTCATTTTTTTGTTTGATTATCTGTCTGTTTTGAGTCAAAGTCTCATTCTGTTGCCCAGGCTGGAGTGCAGTAGAACACTCACAGCTACCAAAGCCTTGACCTACTGAGCTCAGGCAGTCCTTCTGCCTCAGCCTTCCAAGTCACTAAAATTACCCACACCCAGCTGATTTTTTTCTTTTTCTTTTCTTTTTCTTTTTTTTTTTTTGAGTTGGAGTCTCACTCTGTCGCCCAGATTGGAGTGCAGTGGTCGCTCCCGGCCACCACAGCCTCGACCTGCTGGGCTCTGGCGATCCTTCCGCCTCAGCCTTCCAAGTAGCTGGAACTACAGGCGTGCGCTACCACGCCCGGCTGATTTTTTGATTAATTGTAGAGATGAGGTCTCAGCAAGATGCCCAGGCGGGTCTCGAACCCATGGGCTCAGACAATCCACTCACCTCGGCCTCCCAAAGCGTAGGATTATAGGCTGAGCCACCGAGCCCAGCTTCTTTTTCTTTTTTTTTTAAATTGTAGAGATGAGGTCTCACCAAGTTACCCAGGCTGTTCTTGAACCCTGGGCTCAGGCAGTCCCTACTCCTCCACCCCCTGAAGTGTTGGGATTACAGGCGTGAGCCAACACATCCGGCACGCCTTCTCATTTTGCCAACTAATAGAGGAGGAGTGAAATTAATAGGTAGTCCCCAAAAAATGGCCTACCTTCCCTGTTTTTAAATTAGAAATTTTTGGGATAATGCTCCTGATCTCATCTAGATCTACAGCCTTTTGCCCTAAACTAAATGAATTATCTTTATTAAATTTTCAAGACCTTATAATTGGCCTAACTTGACGCACTGCCTGTGGATGGTGGGCCAAAAGGAAAGATCTTATAAGTAAAGTTGTGTAATTTTGGCATAAGGATAGACATGAAAGGAATGGAACAGAATAAAGTTGAAAAATAGGCCTATATGTGTAGTCAGTTGATTTTTTACTAAAGTGCCACGGTAATTCAATAGAAAGTAGTAGTGTTTTTATTTTGTTTTTTTAAACAAATAGTGCTAGAACAACTGGGTATCTGTATTGAGGGGGGAGATACAGAACCTCAATGTTTTATCATACACAGTTTTTTTTTTTTTAGTTGAAGTCTTACTCTGTTGTCCAGGCTGGAGCGCAGTGGCATGCTCACAGCTACCACAGCCTCAATCTGCTGGACTCAGGCGATCCTCCTGCCTCAGCCTTCCAAGTAGCTAGAGCTATAGGTGTGTGCTACCACACCTGGATAATTTTTGTTGTTTAGGAAAAGAGGTCTTGCCAAGTTGCTTAGGCTGGTCTCAAACCCCTGGACTCAGGCAGTCCTCTTGCTTCTGCCTCCCAAAGTGCTGGAATTGTAGGCATGAGACACCACGCCTGACCATACACAAAAATTAACATAAAATGGAGTATAACCTAAATTTAAAAGTTAAAACCGGCTGGGCTCGGTGGCTCAACCTGTAATCCCAGCACTTTGGGAGGCCAAGGTGAGTGGATTGCCTGAGCCTGTGGGTTCGAGACCCGCCCGGGCAACTTAACGAGACCTCATCTCTACAATAAATAAAAAAAAATTAGCCAGGCAGGGTAGCGCGTGCCTGTAGTTCCAGCTACTTGGAAGGCTGAGGAGGAAGGATCACCGGAGCCCAGCAGATCAAGGCTACGGTGGCCAGGAGTGTATCACTGCACTCCAGTCTGGGCGACAGAATGAGACTCCAACTCAAAAAAAATAAAATAAAATAAAAGTTAAAACCATAAAACTTATAGAATAAAGCATAGGAGAAAATCTTTGTAACCTATTGAAATGGGCAAAATACAAAATACTGACAATATCAACTCTTGGTGAGGATATTGATAGTAAAAAAAGTGTAAAAAAAATGTTTATGCCTCAACCATAGTTTTCCTGTTTCCTTGTCAAATATGTCCCTGTGTTTCATGGTTTTATGGGCTTTGGTCTTAATCATTTAAGAATGCCATAGAATAAAATTCTTTGGAGTCTCAAGGGATGTTAGAGTTCGTGTATAATAATGTCTCAGACTGCTTCCTTTCAGTTGTGTAACCTAAATGATTCTTTCTTTCCGAACTCTTTCATTGTGTATAAACGAGTAAACTGAGGATGATGTCAAAATTGTAGTGTTGTTAAAGATATTAAATAATGTTTGGATATAAGTGTTTTATAAAATTGTGTAAATTCTCAGTAGTTATTAATGGTCTACCAGGATATATTTAAACCATTGGTTTCTCTTCGATTCCAGAATAATTTACAGAAATAGTAAAACTGTTTAGAATTATTGTTAAGGCAAGCATCTTGCTTTTCCTCTCCAATTGCAAAATTAGTATTTTTAAGTGTAAGTTTTGGTGTAAATATTTTAACTGTACAGTTCTTTATGAATATTTATAGGGCTTTTTTTCCTCTTTTTTTTTTTGAGTTGGAGTCTCACTCTCTCTCCCAGGCTGGAGTGCAGTGGCACACTCAAGGCCACCGTAACCTCGACCTGCTGGGCTCAGGTGATCCTTCTGCCTCAGCCTTCCAAGTAGCTGAAATTACAAGCACACGCCACCACACCCTGCTAATTTTTTTATTTATTGTAGAGACGAGGTCTCTCCAAATTGCTCAGGCTGGTCTTGAACCCTCAGGCTCAGGCAATCCTCTCATCTCGGCCTCCCAAATTGCTGGGATTACAGGCTTGAGCCACTGCACCCAGCTTAATGATTAAATTGTAACCTAGGACTTCTCTAACTCAGAAGCCTAGGGTACCCTCTGGGTTCATATGCTTATAATGTGGATTTCTACCACCATTATTACTAGTTTTTTTGAAAGCATAAGGAAAACCTATTAAGATAGTGAAAGGAGTTAGTATCTATTTATCTATTTGCCTCTCTGTGTTTCATCATCTTAGTCACCTACTGCCACCTTCGACAAACACGGAGAGCACCTACCCCGAGGAGAAGGTAGATTTGGAGTAAGCCGGCGTCGACATAATTCCTCTGATGGCTTTTTTAACAATGGACCCCTACGAACTACAGGAGGTGAGCCATGTCCAACTTTCATAACTATAAACTACTCAGGGCAAGCCCAAGCTGAGAGCTCATATCCACAATCTTGAAAAGGAACTTTTGTGAATATAGTGGTCAGTTAGATCCTCTAATATTTTTTGTTTTGTTTTTGAATTGCGGTCTCACTCTGTTGCCCAGGCTGGAGCCCAGTGGCACAATCATGGCTCACCACAGCCTCAATCTATTGGACTCAGATGATCCTTCTGCCTCAGCCTCCCAAGTAGCTGGGACTCCAGTTGCACACCACAACACCTGGCTTATTTGTTTAAATTTTTTTTAAACACAAGTGCCTAGGCTGATCTCAAGCTCCTGGGCTAAAGCTGTCCTCCTGCCTAGGCCTCCCAAAGTGGTAAGATTACAGACAGGCATGAGACATTACCCAGCCCTAGATCCTCTAGTATTTGTTACCCAACTACATTGGCGTTCTAGGTCTAACTTTTATGTTCTCATGAATGAATCATTTACTTGTTGAAGAACTCATTTAGAAATTACCTCACAAAGAAAAATTTTTTGTGTGGACTTTTTATTAAAATGGTCCCTAGCATTGTTTCTGAATTTCCAGGAAGCAAACAATCTAATGTGTTACATTTCCTTACTATTCTAGATTCTTGGCACCAGCCCTCCCTGTTCCGTCATGATTCTGTGGACTCTGGTGTCTCTAAGGGAGCATATGCTGGAATCACAGGGAACCCCTCTGGTTGGCATAGCTCTTCCCGAGGTCATGATGGCATGAACCAACGTAATGGAGGTGGCACAGGGAACCATCGCCACTGGAATGGCAGCTTCCACTCTCGGAAAGGATGTACCTTTCAGGAAAAGCCACCTACAGAGATTAGGGAAGAAAAGAAGGAAGAAAAAGCAGAAAAGTTACAGTTTGAAGAGGAAGACTTTGTAAGTATGAAGCTTTAGATGCATGGTTAAAACCCAACAAGCTGGGTATGGTGGCTAGCTTCTATAATCCCAGCACTTTGGGAGGCCGAGATGAGAGGATTGCCTGAGCCCATGGGTTTGAGACCAGTTTAAGCAACTTGGCAAAACCTCGTCTCTACAATAAATAAAAAAAAGTAGCCAGGCGTGGTGGTACGTGCCTGTAGTTCCAGCTACTTGGAAGGATGAGGTGGAAGGGTCACATGAGCCCAGCAAGTTGAGACTGTGGTGACTGTGAGCTTGCAATTTGTACTGCTGTCGGGGCAACAGAGAGAGACTCCAACTCAAAACAACAACAACAAATAACATCCTAAATGCGAGACCCTGTTAGTAATGAGAATATTACTGAATTACAGAAGTTTGGGTTTTTTATTATTTTTAGAGGAAGGGAGTTAAGTTATTTAGATTGAAAATGGTGACTGAAATTCCTGTGTAACTTTTAGCAAATTTTTCATCTTTATACCTTTAGAATTTAAAAAATATGTTTAATTTCCCTTAAGCATCAGAAGGCTCAGTGTCCAATATAATTATACAAAAATGTAGTCTTGCATATTAAATTGTCTTTTTCTGCCTATCTTAAGGGATTTTTCCCCCCTTTTGACTTTGTTCTCTGTTATATAAAATAATTGTGATAAGTTATGAACATGCAATTGACTTGGAGTATTTTAGCTGTTGCCTGTGTATTTAGTTAAACTTCATGCTCTTGTGTGTTGAATTATATGCCTTTTGGCCTCTAAACCAAAGGTAGAATTTTTAGAGTAACTTTAAACATTTTTTAATAATATATTTTATTTAATAAAATATTACCATTTTTATATGTGATCAGTAACTTTAAGTTATTAGTGTTACATTATTTTTTGTACTAGGTTTTCAAAATTCTGTTTATTCTGTGTAACACATCTCAGTTTAGACCACACATTCTGAATGCACAGCGACCTACATGTGGCTAGTGGCTGCTGTATTAGATAGTTCGGCTCTAGTTATTTTTAAATAACACATTAGATTAATCAGCCACTTTTGTTAAAACCATTTCAATATGTTAATAAAGTCAACTAAAGAATTGTCAAGTTTAGGCATTAGCCCCTCTACCTACAAGTCTAGGAAATGTCCTGGAGTCCTTGATTTAAACTATATATTAATGTAAATTCCTACCCCCATGTGACTGTTCTTCAAAACTTTATCCTTGGAAAAGTCTGTACTGCCCTTAGATATTGGACATTTGCCCAGAATGTTCTAGGTATCCAATAATCCAGAAATTACTGCAAACCAAATTATAATTTTCATTATTTGTGTCATAAATGTATAAGCAAATCTAAGAAAAACCAGTGGGAATGTTTTAAAAACCAAATCTATGTTGCTCATCACACGTAGGGAACTTGATGAAATTCCCATCAAATCAGCAACAAAAGCATAAGCAGTAGAGCTAGGTGTAGTGGTCATACCTGTAATCCCAGCACTTTGGAAGGGAGGCCAAGGCAGGAGGATAGCTTGAGCCCAGGAGTTTTAGACCAGTCTGGATAACATAGTGAACCTCATCTCTTCAAAACAAATTTTTTTTTAATTGGTTGGCATGATGGCATACGCCTGTAGTCCCAACTACTTAGGAGGCTAAGATGGGAAGATCACCTGAGTCCTGGAGATTGAGGTTGCAGTGAGACGGGATTGTGCCACTGAGAGAGCAGAATGAGTCCTGTCTCTGAAATAAACATAAAAGTTAGCTGGCCATAGTGGCGTGCATCTGTGGTCCCAGAGAAGATAATAGTAAATAAGAAATAATGTTGGATAAAGTGGAAGTAAGGTAGAGTACCTTTTAAACTAGTACTATACTATTGATTAGCATAGTTTGATTAGAATCTTCACTATTAGATCTGTGGCATTCCCAATAGGAATGATACAAGCATTCTGTTGTATCGTTTTGAATGTTTTTTGACCTTTATATGACATATAGTCCGTGCTGTAATTATCTCTTGTTTAAGTAACAGTGTTTGAGATTTATGTGTGCTGATTCTTAGGGCTCTAGATCATGGATTCTGAACCAGGAACAAGTTTGCCCTCCAGGGGACTTTTGACATTATCTAGGAACATCTTGGTTGTCACAATAGGGTAGTAGTGTTACTGGCATCTAGTATGTAGAGACAAGGGATGTTGCTAAACACCCACAATGCACTGAACAGCCCTATAATAATTAGCCACCTAAAATGTAATTAGTACCATGGTTGAGGAACCTTGCTCTAGATCTTTTTTACTACCATGTAGTAAATATTATATTGTGTGAATATACTAGATTTATTTATCCATTTCTCATTGATGAACATTTAGGTTGTTAAAGACCTTGTTTTGGAACTAAATCTAAAAGATTGGAACTGAGATACTATAATTGGAGGAGGAGGAGTCACAAATAAGATTTCTATCCACAGTGACTTGATGAGTAACATGTAATTACCTTGAAAAAGGAAAACAAAAAGAGAATTTGTGGGAGAACATAATGAATTCTTAGTGCCAAAGAGATGGGTGAGATCTAGAAATGTGCACCTGGAAATAGAGGTAATAGTTGTGGTTTGTGAATGTATAGAATCATCCAAGATTAATATATTGGTAAGGGAGGCCTTGAGCAGAACCTGTAGAATAGGATTAAGAGAGACTGAGAAATGACTAGTTGCAGAAGGAAAGACTATATCTAAGAAGAGTAGTTTGGGAGGCTGAGGTGAGTGAATTGCCTGAGCCTGTGGGTTCGAGACCCGCCTGGGCAACTTGGCGAGACCTCATCTCTATAATAAATAAAAAATTAGCCGGGCGTGGTAGCGCGTGCCTGTAGTTCCGGCTACTTGCAAGGCTGAGGCGGAAGGATCGCCGGAGCCCAGCAGGTAGAGGCTGCGGTGGCCAGGAGCGGCCACTGTACTCCAGTCTGGGTGACAGAGACCCCAACTCAAAAAAAATTTTTAAAGTAGCTAAAAATCACAAAGCTGTTTCTGGATCTGCTTCTTTACAGTAGGTTTCTATGTTCTTTTTTCTATACTGTATATTTGTATAATGAGAGAATTATTTGTTTTAAAATAGTATTGATTTACTGTAATTAGCAGTCCTGTGTTGCTACCTTGGGTGAGTTAAATAGTCCTTATTGTTCCTGAGTTTTTAGAGAATGAATATGAAGCACTTATGAAGACCATGGCACATAGGTTTCTGAATGGTAGCTGTTATTAGGTATGGGAGAGAGCTTTGAATTTGGTAGTCTGGGGTGACCTTTCAGAAATGACAGGTTTGGTTGAAAGTATTAGGGAGTGGTACACTACTCTGTGGAGAAGGAGCCTTGTTTGAGGGTAGAGTTTTCTAGGATTAAGAGACTTGAATGTACTGGAGGCAGTGGCTCATGCCTGTAATCCTGGCACTTTGGGAGACCGAGGTGGTAGGATTGCTTGAGCTCAAGAGTTAGAGATCAGCCTGAGCAACATATCAAGACCTATTTCTGCAGAAAGGTTAGCCAAGTGTAGTAGTAAACATCTGTAATCCCAGCTACTTGGGAAACTGAGGCAGAAGGTTTGCCTGTGCCCAGGAGGTTGAGGCTGTGGTGAGCCAAGCCGTGTTTGTGGCACTTCATTCCAGCCTGGGCAACAGAGTGAGACTCAGACTCAAAAAAATAAAAAGAAAAGAAATGTGTGGGGAGAGAATGTATTAAGAGAAAATGGCAACAGCGTAACCATAGCTTTTGAATCCCCCAAATTTTCCAATAGAAGTAGAGCTCCCTTTAATATTGAATGCAGTATTAGGATGTTTATTCTTACCACCTATATTCACATTCATGTTAGATGTCCCAACAAGTACAATAAGGCAAAAAACAGAAATAAAATATATGCAGATTAAAAAGAGGAAGTAGGGCCAAGCTCGCTGGCTCAGCCTGTAATCCCAGCACTTCGCAAGGCCGAGGCGAGTGGATTGCCTGAGCCTGTAACCAACCTGGGTAACTTGGCTAGATCTCGTTTCTACAACACATCAGAAATTAGCCGGGCGTGGGAGTGCCCGCCTATAGTTCCAGCTGCTTGGAAGGCTGAGGCAGAAGTATCGCCGGAGCCCAGCAGGTTGAGGCTGTGGTGGCTGGAAGCATGACACTCCAGTCTGGGCAACAGAGTGAGACTCCAACTCCAAAAAACAAACAAAAAAACACTTTCATCACAGAAAGTTTCCTTCACGCCCTCTCCTAGTTAATCCCCATCCTGCACAGGCAACCATTTATTCACTTTCCCAATAATTTTTTTTTTATTGTAGAAATGAGGTGTCACCAAGTTGCCCAGGCGAACCCGCGGGCTCAGGCAATCCACTCACCTCAGCCTCCCAAAGCGGGATCACAGGCTGAGCCACCAAGCCCGGCTGTGGTTTTTTTTTTCTTTTTTTTGAGTTGGAGTCTCACTCTGTTGCCCAGACTGGAGTGCAGTTGTCACTCCTGGCCACTGCAGCCTCGACCTGCTGGGCTCCAGCAATCCTTCAGCCTCAGCCTTCCAAGTAGCTGGAACTACAGGCGCGCGCTACCACGCCCGGCTAATTTTTTGATTTATTGTAGAGATGAGGTCTCGCCTGCCCAGGCAGGTCTCGAACCTGCGGGCTCAGGCAATCCACTCACCTCAACCTCCCAAAAGCACGGGATTACAGGCTGAGCTACCGAGCCCGGCTACTAACTGTGTTTTTAATCTTCATAGCGGTTCAGGAGATATAAACATTTTCAAAACTCACTTCACTTTATATAAATTCTAGTTTTAAAAAAAATATTAAAATCACCAGTAGTAAAACAAATACATATCACAAATCTGATATGATCCACTGAGAAAGATTCAGTATCGGCCGGGCTCGGTGGCTCAGCCTGTAATCCCATGCCTTTGGGAGGCTGAGGTGAGTGAATTGCCTGAGCCCGCGGGTTCGAGACCCGCCTGGGCAGCGAGACCTCATCTCTACAATAAATCAAAAAATTAGCCGGG